TGCATCCTTCAACAAATCACCAATCACACCAATAATGTAATGCTATGTTTGAGAAAAAAAAAAAAAAGGTATAAAAAAATTACTAGCCCATTATTTATTTAATTTTTCTTTTTTTTAAAAAAAATCAAGTGTTAAAAGAACGGGTGCGTGCTGGTATTAAATAAAAGGGTTTTTTTTTACATTTATCATTTCGATAAATATGAAATGGCAATCCTAAGCGCATCTTCTTTGCCTAATGAAATATATTTATCTATTTTCGCTCATCTTTCAGTAACTGACCTTTTAGCCGCTTCTTTAGTTTGTGAAAAGTGGCACGTTTCATTTATCTCTTTCCTCTTCTCTAATCTTTTTATAAAATCTTCTCGTCAACTCACTCTACTTAATAAATACCGTCTATTAAAACGTCATTCTCATTTAATCCATTCTCTAACGCTTTTTAAAGTACATCTTTCATCTCAAGAAAAGCAATTGCTTTTAACTACCTGCAAAAATCTTAATAAACTCACCTTTATAAAATGCTATAACCTTGATTCGGATTTCTTAAAAGACATTTTAAGAATTAATAAGGATTCAATAGAAATTTTTAATATCTGGGGTGAGCGAAATTTTAATAATAAAAGAAGTGAGTTTAGCAGTACTGAAGTAAATGATGAACTATTAAGTCCGATGATGGAATTTTGCGGAAATTTGAGAGAATTACGCATCTGTGGTGCTGAAATCTCTGATAATATTTTAATTAATTTAACTTCGTCTTTGGATGAACAAGAATCTTCGGGTGAAAATCTTATTTCTGACGCAAGAGATTTCGGTTTGTCTCAAGATTTATTAGTAACTCCACCTGCCTCTCCTATATCAACTAATACCTATCCGCATCTTCATTCATTGGATCTTACCGAGTGTTTTAATTTGACTGCTTTTGGAATAGCTGAATTATTTTCTCCTGATAATTTACCAAGCTTTCATTCTTTAATACTTCAACACAATCCACAGAATGAATTGGATTTGGAATTCTTTGAATTTCTCGCTGATAGTTTTAAATCTCATTCTTTTAAAATCATCATCTTAAATTCTAAGGGATTTGATGAAAAAAATAAAAAGGTTTTTCACACTTTTGCTAGAATTACTAAAGATCTGGAGATTCTTGCAACAAAGAAAGACAATGTTAGTGTTATTAAACGTGAAAATGAAATGAATGATTCAGAGATTTTGCGTTCTTTTCGAATAAGTAGTCCTTTTATGGCTTGATTTTGTTAAATAATATTTGTATGATAATTTTTTTAATAGATGGTTATTCATAATATCAGATATGTGTTAGGTGGATGGTTGATGGTTGAATAATTCGATAAATCGATAAATCGATGATTGAATGGAGAAAATGGTTGATTCGATGAATGAATGAATGAATTACTCAGAAAAATTTTGTATAAATAATGCTCAATTAATAAATTTCTGAATTATTTCTATTTATTCAAAGAAAATAACTATTTATTTTCATTCTCATTACATTTAATATATCAGGTATGTAATTCTTGTCGTAACGGTAATTATCGTAACGTAATTCTTGTCGCAACATAATAATTCTTGCGTAATTCTTTTAATTCCGTAATTCCGTAATTTACTGTTGTTACCGTATCAGGTATTTGTATCAGGTATTTGTATCTGGTATTACTCGTTACGTCATGAACAAATACTCCATTTTCATTCATTCATTTATTCATGAGGCGTTGACAACCCCATCAAAAAAAAACTCTACCTTAACTGCCTAAA